CCCTCCGTTTCCTCCGACAACGAGATTGACTGGCCCTTCGGTGCCCGCGTCGACGCGCTGAGCCGCGCCGAGCTCCGGGAGACTGCCTATGAGATCTTCTTCATGTCCTGCCGCTGTTCCCCTGGCGGCGGCAGCGGAAGCAGGGGAAGCGTTACAATCATCAGTAGCGGCGGAGAGATGGTGGAGGTCTCATCGTCCCCACTTCCGCCGGCGGTGGCCGGATCCAAAGGCGGTAAGGGGATGATGGTGGTGACGAGCAGAGTAAAGAAAACCCTAGGGCTGAAGACACGCCGCCCACCTCCTATGCGGACGATGAATCCAACGGGGTTGACATCGGTGGCGATCGGAAAACCTTCGGCGGTACTAAATTCCCCCTGCAGAAACCCTGTGCCCAGCTCTCCCAGCAGGATCAAACGGCCGATGACCTCCGCCGAGCTTTTGCGGTGGCAGCTTCGCATTACTGATCAGAGCGAGACCCGACTGAGAAAAACCCTAATGAGAAGCTTCGTCGCACAGGTATATATACCTATCTATATGATTCAAATTAACTGAACGAATTGCATCAATTTGATCCGATTTCTCGCAGAATGGAAGAAGAGCAGAGACCATCATCCTCCCCCTCGAACTGCTCCGTCACCTGAAACCCTCAGAATTCAACGACGGCCAAGATTACCACCAATGGCAACGACGCCAGATAAAGATTCTCGAACTCGGCCTCCTCCTCCATCCCTTCCTCCCCCTCGACCGCCTCAACGCCGCCGCTCTCCGATTCCGCGAAATACACCGTCAGAGCGAAGCTAAGCCCATCGACACCAGCAAGAACTCCGAAACCTTGCGCACTCTCAGCAGCGCCGTCACTGCTCTTGCCTGGCGCAGCTCCAGCTCCTCTGCCACCGGCGAAACCTGCCATTGGGCCGACGGATTCCCCCTCAATGTCCATCTCTACCTCTCCCTCCTCCAATCCATATTTGACGTGCGAGAAGAGACCGTCGTCCTTGATGAAATCGATGAGCTCCTGGAACTGATGAAGAAGACATGGCCAACCCTAGGCATCAACAGAACGATTCATAACCTCTGCTTCACCTGGATTCTATTCCAGCAATACGTTACCACCGGCCAAGTAGAACCGGATCTGATCAAAGCGTCGCTCAATATGCTTGTACATGTAGCCAATGACGCCAAGATGGCCACGGAGCGCGAGCTGAGCTACATCAAGGTTCTCTTCGGCGTGCTTGCATCGATGCAGGGGTGGGCAGAGAAGCGGATGTTAGACTACCATGAAAACTTCGACAAGGCGACAACTGGAAACATGGAAACCATCCTTTCTCTAGCGCTCTCCACCACCAAAATCATCGTCGAAGATCTCCCCGGCATGGACACCACGCCGGGGCTTGTGAAACCGGAAACTGCCGCCGGTGGTGGCTCTGCAGCCAGCAGAGTGGAGTACTATATTCATAAATCTCTACGCAATGCCTTCACTAGATTGTTCGAAACAGGGCACGGGAATGTCGATAGCATGATCGTGGAGGTGGACGAAGATCCCGGCGAAATTATACTCCAGCTTGCGAAAGACGCAGAGACTCTCGCGGCGAAGGAGAAGGAAGTATTCAGTCCGGTGCTGCGGCAATGGTGCCCGGCGGCGGCAGGGTTGGCGATAGTGACGATTTATAACTGTTTTGGTATCGTGCTGAAGCAGTATTTGGCTAAGGCGAATAGTCTAACTGATGAGCTTGTGCGTGTGCTGCACTGCGCAGGGAGGTTGGAGAAGATGCTTGCTCAGATGGTGGCGGATGATGCCGGGGATAAGGACGACGGCGGCCGGAATTTGGTTGGTGAGATGGTGCCTTATGAGGTTGACGCCATTGCTGTTGCTCTTCTCAAGGCTTGGATGGAGGAGAGGCTGAGAATTGGGAGGGAGTCTCTCAACCGTGCTAAGGAGATTGAGGTGAGATAGATTGCTTTCTGGAAATAACGTTAATAAAATATTTACGTACATAAGACTTACGCAGCTCTACGTAATTCCAAGGGTTATTCAGGAGGTACGGGGGTTATATCGGGATTATATCACTCTGTAACTCTTGTAAACTCTTTGTAAACTATCTGTAACCTACAAATGAGTTCCGCACTTTTGTAATTTCATGGGTACAAATAAGTTACACGGAGATTACAAAGGAGTTACACGGAGGTTACAGAGAGGTATAACCCGGATAAAACCCCCCTGTACCCCCTGAATAACCCATGACGTACGCAGCGCTGCGTACGTCTTATGTACGGAAATATTAAGGAAATTTTACATTCGTGACAATGTAAATTTTAAGATTTAAATGTTCTGCATGTAAATATTAAAATTTAGGTATTAGACATGTAAATATATAAAAATTGTGTGGTAGGAATGTAAATGCCCCGTAAGAAAATTGGGGGATTTAAAACATACATCAATATTGTATATTGTAACAATATTATTGTACACTATGTGTAAAACAATGTACAACAATTGTTGTACGCAGAAAATAACTTTCTCACGTGCGAGCTAAAATTTCAACTAACGTATAATATATATGTATGACACGGTGCTAATAAATATTTAGAATGTTTGACAGAATTGGATGCCCAGGTCCAAGAAAGAGCCATTCGCACAATCAGCGGTGGATCTGATAAAGCTGGCGAAGGTAACGGTGGACGAATTCTTTGAGATCCCGGTGACGGCGAGGGATGATATGGTACAAGACCTGGCAGACGGGCTGGAAGCCATCTTCCAGGAGTACACTCATTTTGTGGCCTCTTGCGGTAGGTTTGCTTCCACTCGCTCTTTCTATTTTCTACAGATCTATTAAAAGTTACCTTGATTTGAAAAATTTGTCGTAGAGTGAGTTCAGGCTTTTGAGTCAAATATTAAAAAAACAAAAAAAAAAGTACACTTACATGCATAACACACAATTCTTATGTATTTACATATCTCATGCCCCAAACTTTCATATTTATGCACACATAAGGGAAAATCATCGTTATTATTGCACTCAAACTTTTAATATGAAGGGAAAATCATCGTTATTATTACTCCTTAATCTAATTATGACCGACAACTTTCTTGTGCATAATATCTTTTTTTTATATTTTTGG